GCGTGTATACCTATAGGTGTATACACATGTAGCACCGTACCGGGGAGGGAGCGCATATATCCGCGAGAGTGGGAAGCTGTGCACGGAGCGCCATCGGGGCAGGCAAAGGTATCGCGCAGCAGAGGGTACACCTAAGAGATGAGGAGTGTGGAGAGAGAGAGAGAAAGGGAGCCACCGTGTAATGTATGATCGTAGGCGAGTACACTGCAAATTCAAGTGCATAACTGTATGTATTTTATGTGCATAATTTTATGCACTTAAATGTGTAAGACATTTCATGCACTTAAAACACGTTAAAATTATACGTTTTGATGCGTAACTATGAAAATACACGTTTAAGATGAATACCACTACACACTTTATCCACATATTTTGCGAATTTACTTTAATCGTGTAATATTTACGTACATAAAGTGCATAAAATAATACGCACGTCCAAGTGCATTGTTTTTAGCTGTTTTACGTGTGTAACCTAGAATTCGCTTAAAACACATTATTTCTCCCAAACGAGAAACAATAAGTTGCGTATCACGTCGCTCGCGAGAAAGGTCGACTTTTAAGTTACCAAATAGTTGAAATGTAGTGCGAAAGAGTGATCAGTCGGTTCTTTGAGTGTATCTGCAGATGGTAAGTATGAATATAATCGTTGTGATAACTTTTCTACATGCCACGGCCTAAGGCGTTCAAGCGCAATAACAAATCTAACCTACAAATACCCTTACGTCTCGGTCGTGGTCTTGGTAGTATAAACACTGTTTCATGTTCGTTGTTGGCGTTAAGTTGATTGTGTTGCAAAAAGTGAGTTACAATATGAAAAACTGAGATTATTTATCGCACTTTCTCATATATATCCGTACTTTTTACTCATCGAGCGTAAGCCCGATGAAGCTGTGGCTTACCTATCATGGTCCAGATAGGCATTCTCTCCAGCGAGGATGATAAGTGCAGTGCCCCAGGACGTGCTTTTCTTCGAAATTGCGCTACTGTCTCTATGGTAATACGACTATTAGAGCAACAATTCACCTCCTATGCTCAATAATAGCCTTGCATGACCATTTAGATTTATGAGGGTTAGTCAATACCAAGGACCACAACCCATTTGGTGATTTTAAGTTCAATGGCATCGCTCCGGTGTATTATAATGTCTCGAAGATGCGCGTCACCTTTGATATGCATGGCAACGATATCATCCACATCCCAGCCAAGCACATGGCCAGTGATCACAGCAAGTACATTGGTATCACCAACGACAAGGGACGAGATCGACTTCATGCTGTCTGACGTTAAGTGATATCGCAAGCAGCATCAGTTACAGTGCGTAATGGTAGATGTACGCAGTCAGCTTGAAACTTACATCAGCTCAACCTAGCAGGCTACTGAGGAGAGTGGTGAAAAAGCCAGGATGAAATATCGAGCCTCTTATTGCGATGAGAAAGGTAAAGGTAAACATTGAATCCATTGAAGAATTATTCATTCAAATTAAATACATTATACAAATACTATTTTTGTAAATTAATGTACGTTACGTACAAACATGTATATAAATACTATGAATAAACGCAGGTGAAAATTTAGTGTATGTTCCACCTGCCAGTGATCCACGTCTCAAGGCGCAAGGGTATACGCATTAGAGGCCCACTTGTACACTTTTCCATCTATTTATCCAAACTCATGTAATTTACTGTAGTATCAATGGCTGGATACTGACTCAAATACGTGACAGGTGAGCATTGTAAAAAAAAAATTTTTAGCTTATCAATAATCATTGTTGCTGTTCACACACAAATATTAGTTTTGAGACTTATAACGGGCTTCAGGGTATGAAGATTTTGTACACCGAACCTCCAAGAAAAAGGCGAAAAACTGATTATCACAGTGAACTGTGAAACGTTGAAAATGTCTTGTTCGACTTGGATGATCAAAATAATATCACTGAATTAATGCTAGAAAAGACACCATCTTCATACCAAGTTGAAAATCCTCAAAAAAATTCAAGTGCTGAGCAGAATGAATCAAACAAAGATGTAAATATGGTAAACATAAAAAAAAAATTTTCAAGCCCTGTGCATGTTATTCATTTTCTTTTATTTTTTTACATTATTTTTTTAAATCTTACAGGCAAGTACTGAGTTTGCTGATAAAGCCAGTAGTTCAAAAAAAAAAACATCAATTAGAAAAAAGTTTAAAATAATGAGTCTTCCACCTCTCAGCTATGATTTAAAAAATAAAATTGAAAAGGATGGAGTGGAGAAGTCACAAAAGGAATTGATCAGATTTTTCGGACAATATTTGTGACAGGAAACAGATGGTGATCCATCAAAACAGCAGTACAATGATTTAGGGAGCAAAATAGTAAATAAGTATCCTCTACTAAGAGGTGGCGAAAACGATAACGTAAGAAATTTTGTTGATATTTTTGTTTAAGCGGCTTTTAATAATTATTTTTTTCATGCTTATTAATTTGCAGGGCATTGTCAGAAAACAGCTAAGCATTTGGATTCGAAACAATCGCCAAATTATAAAAAAAACATCAAAAAAACAACAACATTCAAACCCAGAGAAAAAGAGTCAATCTCGAGAAAAAGCTACAATTGTTGATAAAGAGTAAGTTAAAAAAATTGTCTTATTATTGTGTAATTACATAAGCTTAATATTTCGCACTATTACTATTACGTGATTAACGATAACTTACATCACTTTACAGACATAATATTGTTTCTATGATTTCTGACGAGGATTTGCAAAATGGACTTCGGGAGCTTGAAAAATTCAAAAATGGAAGAAATATTTCCCACTTCAAAAGACTACTAGTGATTACCCGGGATCACAGAAGAAAATGGATTGAGGGAGAAGCTGAAAACGTTGCTCTTATTGTGGAGAAGTATCCAACTCTTCAAAATTTCGAAATGGTACGAAAAATGGCAAGAAACTTTTATGATCTTAAATATAACTGAAGCTGATGTATATGATGATTGTGACGTATTTTTAAACGATCTATGTAACTACTATAGTAATAATTTATCAGTAAACGATAATGCAGAGATGAAGAAATTGACAGCCGTCGAAAACATGTACTTAGAGTTACTACCAAGTACACTAAAAAACTCTGTGCTGTATCCTCTGTGGAAAATAATGCTAGTAAGTTTTTTTTTAATTTTCATGTCTTCAACAACTTGTTACAATTTTTATTATATAATTTACAACATTTTTTAGGTTTTAGATTCATCACATATTCTGTTTTCCCCAAGACAGTCTCCTCCTAGAGCTGTTATATTTGTTGCAGAAAACATTGTAGTCCAAGCATTTATTGTAGCAGATGAAAGTAAAAGGATTGAAATAGACAATTCTTCTGTCAGCAAGATATTGATTGTACTGTTATCGTCGTATTATGCGTGGCACAGAAATTTTCCAAAAGCATTTAATAATTCTCTAGGATTCTTGTCCATGAAACTTTTTGGCATTAACCAAAAGAAAAGTACAGCTCTTGAAAAGTTTATAAGAAATTGGGAAAACTCTTTGTAGAGTCTTGTTGTGTTCAAGTTATCCCACATATAAGCTATGTTAATTGGTTAAAAATATCCATTAGTGTATAAAATATATAGTTTAAAACACGTAAACTAAGTAATAATGTAGTGTATGATTAGCTATTGATAGTAATTCATTCATGTATTAAAAAGATAAAAGAATTTCTTTGTACTTTCATTTTCTAATAAAATATTTTATTTTGTCTAAAAGAAATTAACTAGTTTTATTGACATTTATTTAATTTTTGTATTCTGAAAATTATCTATCTTTCTCATATTCCTTGTTTTTCTTGTACTCTTGTTAAGTATTTATTTGTGTACGTGAACAAAATTAGACTTAAAGTTACAAGGACGATGAATATGAAAACTCCATTTTCAAATTTTCATAAACTATTGCCAATCATACCACTTTCTTTAATCTTTCGAATGTGTAGACTACTTAAAAATGTAAAATAGAAATTTATTTATTTTTTGAAGTAACGATTGATTAAACGTTTCAAAAAACAAATAAATTTCTATTTTTCACTTAAAAGCATTTTCAACGCATGAAAAATAAATTAACTCGCTTTAAACGCATTAATACGATATGCATTTAAAGCACATACAAGAATTATTATATATTTAAAATGCATAAATTCACCAGTTTTATGCATTTCAAGTGCATAGTTTTTACACACATGGGTGTGTAAGTTAACACACTTGAGATGCATTCGTTCATTACACACGTAGAAACGTGTAAAAAGTGTTACAAGCAAAATATGCACTTAAGTGAATAGAAATAATGCACTTGGATTTGCAGTGTAGAGGCAACGGCAACTACTATACGATGTCGACGGGGATGGTGTACGTGCTGGTGGGACGGGCCGCGAGAGAGAGAGAGAGTGAGCCCGCCGGCAGCATATCAGGCGGGAGGGGTGCCGGGCGGCACACGCGACACTGCCGGCAGTCGCTAGCGCGACACGGTCGCCGCCACGTGCTTTTTCCCTCGGCTTCCATACCCCACGTATACACTTTGTTTGCCCTGTACTTGCAAGCTCGGTACCATATATATATATAACCGCGGTCCAGCTAGCCGGCGAGCTTTTCTCCCTCCCCCTCCTTTTCCTCCGGCGGTGAAATTTGAATCGGCCCGCCGGGAGCGAGCGCGCGCACCTAATGCAAGCTTTGGTGGTGTGCGATGCTGTCTGTTATCCGCGCGCGCGCTATCTACTCCTAGCTCTCCTGCGCCGTGTTTGTTTCCCCAAAGAACGCGACTAGCCGGCACTTTATACTCCCGATTCATCGGATCGTCCCGGTGATCTAACTTTCCGATTGTGCCCGACTCTTGCTTCGATGCCAGTGAAGTTTTGGGGTAAAATCTTGGGACTTGATACATAAAGTGAGGGTGCCCGCGACCGGGAGATAGTGGTTAAAAAAGCCATCTGATACGTAAGTATACGATTCGGTTAACGGAGATTCGGGCGCCACCTGCACGTTTATCGGCAATCTCGATTTTACTCTCTTTTTCGCAGAGTCGCGACAAGTGCCGAAAGTATACTTATAAATTGTGTACATCGTGTAGTACAAAACCCGCGTCAGGAGCAGCCTCGTGCAGGAAAAAAGTAATTTCGGGCCGAGTAGCGGAGCGCCGATGGAGTGACTCAATATGTCGACCAGGTAAGTTGATTTAAAAGCTTTTGTACTCCGTCCGTCTGTGTGTGTTTGAGATTACGAGCGCCGGAGAGGTCGAGTTTCCGGGTGGAAATTTCATTAGCTCATTGGACGAACTCGAGGACACTCTGCATGCCCGCTCGCGGAAAGGGAATTCGCGTTGACGGTAAATTAATATAGGAAGATGTAAGAGGGAATGGCTCTGATTCTTGGGTTTTTATCGCGGCCGTACCTCGTTTCTTGATTCCACTCGTGTAGGTATATTATATCATATGTGTATCACCTCGAGCATAAAAAAAATAAATTGTTTCCCAAATGTCCCCCCCCCCTCCCTCTCGATTTTATCTCGTTTACGCCAAGAGAACAACATACGTACACATAATCGAAGTAGCCTTGAATAAATTCGTGCCAGTCCAAGAGAAAGCTTTGTTCGCGAGTAATGAGGAATCTCCATATTTTAATGGAATGGCCCATCCGAGGAGCACTTGGAATAAATTTTCGTCCCCCCCCCGCACGTGTAATGTGCTACACGATCTCGAAATCCAAAAGATCCCATCGATCTGCTGTCAGCGTATCATACAGTCTCCCATGCGAGCGCCACTCAATTACAGCAGCTTTGGCGCAAAGCGCCTTTCTCTCCCCTCTGCCGCATTGTCCGGCCCTCTTTGTAATGTAGATTTATTACCTCCGCTCGTGACTGTATATTCTAGCTCCCCCCTCAAAAAAAAAAAAAAAAAAATTGTGCTACCATGCGCGTATATATGGCGACTCGTCGTTTATTGATATTGGAGATATAATGAGTGCAGGGCTTACGCGCCACTATAGCCACGGGAACACAAAAGATGAGTACAGTCTAGCCGCCCGCTCCTATACCTATACGTACATTTGAGCGCCGGCCGGATGATTTATGCGTTTACCTATGTACCTTTTCAATGGGACGAGAGGCGTGGGTTCCTCCAAGTTCCGAGAGATGAAAAACTTGAGGGAAAAATGAAGGCGCTCTGTTATGTCGATGACGCAACCCGTACACATAGGCGAGACGAGCCATCAGCAATTTGTGTTTTTTTCAATCGCGGGCGATCTTCGATCGGTGGGAGCGGAGAGCAATTTTTCGGCTCCATTTGTTTTCATTGGATTATACCGTTTGTTTTTTCTTTCATTTTTTTTTTTTTTTTTTCACGCAACAATAAAACCAGAGAAAAGCAATCAACGTCGTCGACTCTGTTTGCGCGTATAGCACGCCCACATGTGCACAGATATTATAAAAAACAAATAAAACAATCGAGGGAATAAAAACAATTTCCCCGGACAGTTCCGTCCTGTTTTTCCACTTTTCGGTGAAACATGAAAAAGAAAAAAAGAAAATAAAACAAAATCAGTGGACGTCAAAACGATCGCGTGCCAAGCCGTGATGAAAAACAAAACAGAAAAAAAAAGGGTAAACAGACAGTTTTAATTTTCCCTCGTGCGCAACGCGTTGTACAACTCCAGCTGGTCAAAGCTTTCCCCGACACTTGCCACACGTATACATACACCCACCCACTGATTGACATACCAATCACCGGTCGCTCGATCTTTTTTTGTTTTTGTTTTGCCCCTCCCGCGTCATTTCTCCCGCGACGAGGTGCGAATTATTTTGACGCGGAATTTAATTGATTCGCCCGGGAAATTGAAAAGCGCTCTCTGGCCTCCCGCGGAAAGGCCATTGTTGCGCCGTGTACAAGCCCTTCCCTACCCCCGCAAATGACTTTGTTCGAGGGTCCGATAGAGGAGTTTAATTACGGGCGCAGCTGCAAGGCCGAGGAAAACGAGCTTTTGCTTCCGAGGCTTCGTGAAAAAGGAGCTCCTTTTCTTCATATTTTTCCGTTAATGAACCCTGTGTACAACGGGGCTGTACTCTGTATAGGGTAAACTTTTTTTTTTTTTTTTTTAATTATTAAAATTACCAGTTGGTACGCAATGACGTGGAATAGCGGTATCGAGCGAGCTTATTCGGAAGATTATTCGCGAAAAAAACAAATTTCGTTTTGGAGGGGGAAAGAAGTATAACGATCGGCTCGCCAGGTGTTCTGTTTCCTGTTTCTTTTTTTTTTCTTCTTCTTCTTCTTGGGAAAAAGAAAGAGCGGAAATGTATGATTTTTCACGGTCTGGCGTATATTCATTTGGGCGCGTATGGTAAGTCCGATGGTATTTACGGCGCGCCGAGAGTGAACATTCGCGGCACGTGCGCCCGAGCTTTTTCGATCCCTCCCCACCAGCTGCTCTGCGTATAATCCGTCGATACACGGTTGGTGGTCCCTCTAGTCCGTGACTTTTCTCATCGAAAGTTTGGCCAACATAATCGTGCTTTTCTCCCCGTTTGACGGATAACGAGCTCCATCTCGAATGTAAATTACATCGTAATGCGATCTTGTGGTCGGATGATGAGGTTTTAGAGCAAGGGTTATTGGCACACGAGTACACCCGTTTCATACGTCGGGATTGGGTACTATAATGCATTCGGGCCATTGCCCGTGATTTTACTTGAACCCTGCACCGGCCCTGTCTAATTGCCCCGCGTGTACCTATACGTGGATATTCCCCCGTGCCGAGTTCATTATGTATCCAACCGAGGCTCTTTCTCCCGATGCTGCAGTGCAGACGATACGTATGGTGTCCTAATAAATTCATGCTTATGCGCTCAAAGTACCTCTAATGGGTTATCGATCAGTGGCGTAGTGGCTTTTCCGCTTTATGTGTTATACATGTATACATCGCTACATGGGCGTAAAAACTTTTTAATGGTAAAATATTCCGAGGTTTTCGACAAGATTACCATACATTATCTGGGGAACGATGTCGCGTGTCAAAATGATTCTTTTAAAGGCCATTCCAGCCCCGCGGAGATTCGACTTTACAACTTGTAACTCCCGTTCAAGTACAAAGTTTGATTAGTTTTTACACGGCGCCATCCTGTTTCGGCTCGAAAAGCCAGGGCAGAAATAAATAAAGCTTCCGGGCTCTCCGAGCCGAATGATGGGAAAAAAAAAAAATTCGCGCGTAGCCCATTTTCTTGGACCATTGGCTGGTGAAAATAGTCTTCTCCGAAGCGCCGCGAGCAACGCCCAAGTTGGCCATCAATGACCCACCAGCAGCAGATCGTAGCTTAAACTAGGGGCATCTGGAAGCCATATTATTCGACCCGAAAAACGCGTCCCCTCGCCATCAACGCTCTTGTAACACCCATAGTCACCTACAAATGTGTGCGCGTAAACGACGCCGATGATGAATAATTGATCAACTCCGCGCAAGGACATAAAAAAAGACACACACAGTTAGGTACGGTTAATTTTTGTCGCCAAATACGATATAACAATCAATCGTCCAGCTCTCCGTTGGATTACTGTGAACGAATAGTTGTAAATGTACTCTCACGGATAGATATACAGCAATTCACGCGAGTAGAAATTACACATGGAGCGAGAGGGAATTGCCTGGACGGAGATTTGGGATTCGAATGAATGCAAACGATCCTCTCGCCACGGGACTACCGATCTCTCTCGCGCCGATTTACATGCAATTGCCTCCGTTGAGCTTTTCTTCTCCCAAACCATCGTTTGTTTCTTCGTTGCTCATCCACCTGTCGAGTTAAACTTCGAGAATCACTTTGCGGGTCGTCAAAAGCATACAAATTTGCCATTTCCTTCGGAGAGAAAAAAAAAAGAAAAAAAGTACACGTACGGAGTCTCAACTCTATACGTCCCATTGAGCCCCCTACCCCTCGATAATATTAGCCTCGCTCGCGGTGCACTCGAGGAGAGGGCCCTCCTTGTACACGCTCGTCGAGCAACCGCGCGCCCGTGTAATTACGGCGTGTGTATGGCTATTGCGCGCGTGCGCCCCTCACGCGGCACTTGGTTCGTTCATGCGGTACTCCATTCATTAGAGGGGCCGCTGACGAATGTATACACGTATACGTGTGGTTTTCTTCTCCGTACGCCGCTGTTTGTTTCACTTCTGCGCGTACACACGTGGAGTGTGCGCGCGATGACGCCTTCCGCGGAGCTCATTAAACGCATATTGTTGGGCCCTCGTCGCCGCGTCTTATTGTTCGGGTGCACAATACGACATGCAATTGTATGCAATTGTACATTTACGACGCAAAGAGATACAAATATCATGCAAGGACGTACCGCAGTATAGTCCCGTCGTTTCGAGTAGTGATGGGTATTTTTAAAATACATATAGTCACGTTGAGTGCGCTGTATTCATGCGTGATCGGTAAGTCCCCAGTTGTTATATCATCGACTGCCGAACTTTGACGGGAAGTAGAAAGTTTCTCCTTGCCCACTCGAGAATTCCTCCGTGCGAAAGTCCAATCAATTATTCATCTTTTAATATTTTTTTTCACTCGAAACATCCGTACCCCAGCATCATCCCAATGTTTTGTTTACCCAGCTCCAATCAACAAAGTTGTACCACTGTATACGTCTTTGATCGAGGGCAAGTTTGGCACAGTCATCGCTCTCAAGGTGTGTATACACTCCTACGGAGGCAGGGGTCAAGCACCCACTCAGGCTCCCCTTTCGCAGGACAACTGATGTATATAAATAGACAAGATGTCCAAGCTAGCCGTGCATTCTCCTCGTTACGTTGTCAATATTCCGATCCCTCCCTTCCTCTTATCTCCTTGCTTCTTTACTGTGTTCTCTCTTGCCTCTCGCTACATTGACGATTTCACTACAGAGATCGATTGGACCTACGAAGGAAAAAAATAACGTAGTATGCATGAGTACTAAACGACATTGTGCAAGAAATACTTGCGCATTCGTTACACGAGTTATTTATATATGTATATTTAAAAAAAAAAGCCTAGCTTATAGTCAACCATAAATAAAACCGTTTATTCGTCAAGTATACAAATAATGACATAGAGTTGAATTTAAACAAATTTTGGTTGTGGTGAGAGAGAGTCACGTAAATTAGTTGGAAAAATTTCGGTTTCTCGCGTTGAATCGCGATGCCCGAGCCAAAGTTTCGAGCTGTTGGTTTTGAGTTACGCAATCTAATTTTATAGTTACATTCGTATACATTCCCGGAATCCAAACTCGTTTAAAAAGTTAAATCTCGAAGCTAACAAGTTCAACTCGGAATAAAACGATTATTTAATCGAGGGTAATTTAAACTTTCTCCCACCTATAAAAATCATCTCAGAGAAAAACGTTATACAGTTTAAAGCAAATTCTTTTCCCCGTATGTATCCATAAGTGGCAATTTAAACGCAAAAGGCAACACTATCTCCCCATCCCCGATTCATCCGCGAAGAAGGACCAAAAGCGTGGGTGGAAGTAAGAGTGTGTATACAAACGACAGCGACCACAACATGTGTACGGAGGTGGTCGTGATTCATTGGCCGATCGCTGCCCGCTTGCACCTTACTTGTACCTCATCCCACGCGCGGCGATTTCTCTTGACCCTCCCCGCGCCTCACGTCTAATTGTGCAGATAAGTTCTCGAAGGGCCGGTGGGAACTCATTGTCCTTTTGTACCAACCGTTTATGGAGATCGTTAGTTTCGCGCATAGTGGATACGGTATGAGGCTAAGGTTTGTTCGTTTCATGCATAGTTTATCGAGTTGTGAACTCCCATGTGGAGGGTTTGGTGAAAAAAGGAGCAATCGTTATAAATAAATTGGCTCTGGCGACGGTATAGCCATTTCGAACTCGTGATTTTTCACCGAGGCGTCGTGAACAAAAATACTTAACGTAAGGATGAACTTGACGAAAACCATTGATACCATGAAATAATCAGTTTCAGCGTCTCGTTGGTGCTGCTGGCGTGCGGCTGGGCGATTACTGCCGATGCCACGCAGAACTTCTTCAGCGACAAGAAAGGTGAGCCACTGATCTCCAAAGTCAACATTATTTGTATATATCGTATATGTACTGTATAACGCATAAACAGCTTACAAGGAGAGAGGGAACAATTTTACAGCGGGATATTTCCCAGTACGGAAATCTCGAAAGATTTACTGGCTTCCCCCCCCACCCTCTAGCGTTTATCAGAGAAAAAAGAAAACCGCGGAAACCTCGGTCCGGAGGATAAACGAGGCCCTTGGGATCCGTGGTGGTATACATCTACTCCTCTGCGGGCGCTTGTGGCACTTTTTGAAGAATTCCCGGGCATTTAATTAGAGCAGAGTAGGGCCACGGAGCGGTGTATAAGCCAACCGCCCTGTAATTCACGCATTTTAATGCATGCATAATTAAATCGCCCGGCTCGAAGAGCATTTCCCAGGGCTGCCGTTGCGTGTTTCATCTACGTGAGAGATGAAAAATTTAGCCCCTGCCACTCGGAGATGTTCACTAGAAAATTGTATCTTTTTCTTGTTAAGAGGACACGAGGAGCATATGCACTGCTTTCGAGTATGTCTGGCCAAAGTACCACGCTCAGTGAGTGATCGACTCCGGAGAGTTTAAATTCGAATGGTAGCGGGATGAGGAAAAATGCGAATCTCGAGAATACTCGCGTACGCGGGAACAGCGACTGCTCACTGGTTTATTTCGAGAAACTTGTGGGCACGCGTTGAAAGCGACCAAATTTTACGATACCTATACTTACTCGCGAAGCGGATTTCGCGCGCTAATAGTGTCATCGGGGGAGCCGAAGCCATTAATCACGACGCGGTTTGGTTGACGAAAAACTAACGTTGATGGGTATGCATCGCGGAAAGTTTTCTCGTATACAAAACTCGTTTAAATTTGTGGCACAAAGTTTACGGGCCAACGATAAAGATGCTGTCGCTTAAAGGTACACGAAAAGTTACGGCAAAGAGCGAGGAAACGTGTACATATTGTTTTGAGCTGATGACGGTATGTACACTTTCTGTTTGCGGATGAGTCACTATTGCACTGATAAAGTTTTTTTCACCAGTCCCATGGGTACGTTCGCTTGAAAAATAGTGCACAGCGGAAATAAAAAAAAATTAAAATTCATTGTACTGCTTTTGTTTTGCATCTTCATGTAAAATTTACAGAACTCATTTGTACGCATTTTTTACCACCGAATATCATTATTCCCTGTGCAAAGTCCTACTCTGAAATACAGACGTAGGTACACGTACAATTTTTCGCATTCCGAGCATTAAAAATTTTAAAGTGAGAAACGCAGCGAGGTGTGACCAGCAAACTCCTTTGCAAATCAGTGTGTGTGTGTATAACAGACAGTCGAACGCGAAATTCGGCAAAACTCACGTAACCCGGAGCCGGTGGAGTTTCCTCAAAGAAAACACGCCGCCACTCGACCCGTTTCAGTTTCCAGCTCCCATCCCCCAGTGCTGGAAAAATTAGCGCTCGAAAAGCGGTGCCGGGGCCACACAACGCGAGAACGAGCCATTCCCGCGGGACGCGGATACGACGACGCGTGAAAAGAGACGCGGGATTCTAATAGAACGAAAACACCACCCCCTGCTAGCGTAGCTGCACGCAGAGAGATCCCCTTGGATTCGGGGGCAGAGCTGTTTCCCCTGCCCCCTCGGCCGCGCTAATAAATATTCATTGTTAATTAAAATCCAGCGCAACGCCTGGACCACCCGGGCTTTTTAATATTTATCGCACTCCAGTATGGAGAGATTAAAATTTTTTTTGTTTTTTTGTTTTCGTAAGGATTTTCGCGATTTTTTCCACGAGATTGTAAATTCAGACGACTCATTCCGCATGATCCTCACGGGCGAGTTGACGCATGTACATTATAACGGGTATACATATATTTACATCGGAGTTACCGCTCCACGCTTTTTTTTTTTTTTTTTATTCTCACTCGGTGCATAATAAGAGAGTCAAGGTGAAAAAGTCGACTGCGATTGATCTACGGCTCTGTTGTTTCTATCGGTTGCAAATATAATTGCGGTGCCGTGATTCACGCATTGTTTCGTGCTTAATCTATTTTTACTCCGATCCGGCCGCGACGGCTGATGGTTGACGTTGTACCGATACGGTAGCCGTTGGAAAATTCTCTGTTCAAAGATGCAAGAAAAAATCACGGGACACGAGCAAGAGAGCCTGCATGGGGGGATATATAACGTAGGCGCTCGTGTCGGATCGTTTAATATGTGCGGCGCGCGCGAGAGCTATATGCGTGTACTTACATGGCTTCGCGCAGCCTCACTGGCTTAACGGCGGGACTTTCGGGATCGAGATGCGAAAAACATACGAAATCGCGGGCACGTGATACAGTTCCTTGGCACGCGGAACAGGGGGGTGCAGACGTATTGGGAGGTGGCGCACGTGCTCGGCAAGTACAAAGCCCCCCCCCCCCCGTTGGTATGTACTTTTTGCCTCGTTTCCCCGCACTGCTGGGTATATACCCATCTACCGTTCGTTACCCTTATTTTTCTTAAATGCATTTGCATCTTGGCTCCACACTTAGCTTCTTCGCTGTCGTTTCGATGAATATTTTTTTCTCTCTCTTTGTGTTTTATTTGTTGCAGTGGGCAAGTCGGGCCAAGGTGTAATCGAATCGGGGGTTTTATCGTATCGGTCACGAGGATCTTAAAGATGGGAGGAGATGGGATATCGAAGGGGGAACATACCTCCCTTGCATTAATGAGGCTCGGCTTCATGATGTAAGAAATTGAGAAACTCATCAATTTTTTTTTTTTTTTTGTAAATGACATCATAGTAGGTACACATACGTAGGAAAAAACGTTTGCAGGAAAAAAAAATAATGTACGAATATTCTTTTAATGCACAATACGTTAAAAGATTATATGTTACCGTATAATCAGTTTGAACGACGAATCTGTAATTAAATGTTGCGCGTCGACAGATTCTATTAAAATGCAAATGATGTGGTTGGTCGGTAATTCTATATATTCGTAAATAACATAAAGGCTTTGGATTACCCGAGCAACTGCCGAACAAACGGACCCAGTAATAAACGCGAAATTATATCTATTGGTTTCTTCACGTCACAGCTGTTAATTAGAGACTACACATGCACACATTTGTAAAATACTAGAATGGACGATGAAGATTTTTTTTTTCTTTTTCTTACATTATTTTGTTTAAACAAAATAAAACCATGTTTATTCGATGAAAATGCATCAGTAAAACAACACCGGTGGGAAAACCCCTTTGTTCAAGCAAGAAAGAATAACGGAACGGACAAGGGAAACGAACTTTGTACACAAACTGGTTTTCGATGTCAATTTGATCGGTAGCGCCTAAGGGGAATCCCCGGATACAGAGGGTTAACGCAAAAAAGCGAGAAGCACCAGCAAAAAAGCGAAACAGAGAGAAATAAAGGTATTTGCGTCCGAATGCACTCGCGCGATGGGGAGCGAAAGCGATACACGCTTTTAGCGTCGTTGGCGTTGTTCTTTTCTTTTAACCCCCCCCCCCCTCTCTTTCTCTTTACTTTTTCGTGCTCTCGAATTTTAACGCTTCAGCGTGAACGAGTTACTTTTTGTCGTCACTTTTGCACGACCTTTTTGTTCGGTCGATACACTATACGTTACTCTTTTCCTACTGGCTCATTTTTGAACTTCACCTGGAATAATTCCGGTTCTTACAAGTTTTTTTCTCTCGCTCTTTCCGTCTACGTTTACGAGCAGTGTTCAGCGAGCGATCAAATTTAAAAAAAAAAAAAAAAATTCCCCGCGTCTACTCTTCGGAGAACATTGGCGGATTAGAGCAGAGGAAAACTTTGCTACGGCACACTCAAACAGCTCACATCCCCGAGGGGAGATGTCGAGTAGTCGTCGTCATCCTCGGGTCCCACAAGAGTTGAACTTTGTTTGTTCTTTCGTTACCTTGTACACGTGTATACTTACATACGTACGCTTCAATTCGTTGTCACTATGATACTTAGGTATTCGTTAAAAATTAAATAGCAATGATAATAAAAAAAAAAAAATAAATAAAAAATAGAGATTTAACACACATTAAACGTGAAAATTATTTTATATGTCTTTCGTTGACAAGTTAATAAATGCAATACAAACGCAATCAGTTAATCGCGTATACGTACGTTGCTGGGTAATGGGGCAATAGTTGGATTTGAGTAATTGAAATCGATGAAAGAACCAGTTTAGCGCCCGAGTTGTTGGTAATCGTGAGATCGAAGGACTATTAACAAGCAACATTCTTAGAACGGGCAGCTGGTATTTTTACAGTTTATTGAATTCTCTGAGAGATTCCAAAAAAAATTAGAAAACAAGGAAAAAATAACTCTTTGAAGTGCTAGTATATTTGCACCTTTGAGTAATTTTTCACTCAAAAAAATATACTTTTCTCTCATTCACTGAAAGATAATTTTTTATGGACAAAATTTTGCGTCAACCAAGTCCGAGCTTCGAAATTCCAATGCACTGCAACTAATCCAAGCAGCTGTATCTGTTTTCACCAGCCCCAGATTCCGTTCGCCCGACCAAAAAAGCTCCAACCCCCCAAAAGCTCTTTGCCATCAATCTCTCGCTGCATCGTAAAAATCCGCCGTACTTCGCCACCCCTGAAACCAAAACCCAAACTGCAAATCAGAGCGCCACACCAGCAGGGGCTTTCTCACCTGTAGCTAGAATAAACAAAGGAGCCGCGATCAGAGGGGTATAACGACTGTACCGCGAGAGCTTTTTTCTCCAGCTGACGATCGTGACGGTGTTCTTTATACGTAGGTATGCGCTTGTTATCTCGCCTTTGCCTTTGTCCCGAACAAAAGGCTCGTAAACAAAAACGGGCCACCGATAGCCACGGGGCCGTGCTGTTTCGGTGCATTGGGCTCGTGATCCACATCCTCTGGCTTTCTCCCTACGTATACGAGTGTGAATGTGCACATATGGGTCGCTTCGACCACGACGACGAGTCTGTTCTCGGGAATTTTAGATAAAAGTTTTTCC